AACAAGCCAGGGACTATGGGAAATGCAACTGAACCCTGGGTCTCTATGTTTCAATGGATGACATTAATAACCACTACTGGAAATTTCTTTACCCGTGTCCCCACCTGAATAATGCAGTTTCTTCTTGTAGGTGTTTGAACACTTCAGGCTGAATAAAAGGATCCAATTTAAACAAAAAGAGAAATTTTGTATGCAGAAACTGGAATGGCACACGAAACCTCAGAATAGGACAACAGGACTTCCCAGGATGTCGACCTAACTAAAGAATTGGGAGGGATTAGGGTGTGTGCTTTGGCTTGTTTTCTGGGCTTCTTACTCTACATTATTTTCTCTCTGCATAATTGGTTCCATCATATTTATACTCTGGCAGAAAAAATTGATTTCCAACAGCTTTCAAGTTTTAGATAAAAATAGGTTTAGCCATCTAGAGACAGAGGCTGATCGGTTTCTTATTACCATGTTAAAAATCTTTGGGGCAGGAGCTGCCAGTGGCCAAAGCTAGAACAACTTGAGCAACCAAATAAAGTATCATTGAATTATAACCCAAAGTATAAAATAAATATTTATGAATCCCTGCTAGTACAAAAAAATGAATAAATAAATAAATGAATGGAAAAGAAGAAAATCTCCTGTGCAGAAAAATTTCAAAAAGTTTATGTAGATAGTAGGTCCTTAAGAAGGTGGAACATAACTCCACACTTCTTAAGTGTGGGCTACACATAGCAACTTCCTTTCAAATACTAGAGTATTGAAGGAGGAAAAGAATAACTTTATAGTGAAGAAAGCTGACAAACAGTACTTCAGCAAGGTGATCAACATTTACATCAACAGTGATAATTCATGATGATAGTGAGTACCTTGATATGATTTGTTGAGAATGACAGTTGATCTCTGTAGTCTTTCTTCCCAAAACTCATAACCCCAGTCTAATCATGAAAGAAACATCAGATAAGTTCCAACTGAGGAACTTTTCAGAAATACCTGATCGATACTTCTCAAAAGCATCAAGGTCATCAAACAAGGGTACCTTAATATATCAATATTGGTTAATTAATTATAAGAAATATATCATAATAGTGTAAGATATTAATAACAGGATAAATTAGTTGTGGGTGTAGTGTACACTATCCCCATAGATAGTCCGTGAATCTAAAATAATTCTAAAATAAATAGCTTATTTTAAAAAATCACTGGAAAGGGAACTGATGAACTCTTCTTGCTCAGATATTCACCTCTGAATTATCAACACTCACACTCTCTCTCCTGTCTCACTTTGGTTTGATGTCTGTGACCCTCAGCATGCTAATACTTCTGGTGCCCTCAATTACATCATCACCTAGAGAACTGTCCAAGGTACTGAATCATGATGGTGTGGAAATATTGCTAGAAAATAATTTGATAGAGACGTTGGAAGATATAAATAAGAAATTAAACAGAAAGTAGAAAATATTTAAAATGCGTAATCTAAGAGACGAAAGATAAGCTACCAAGAATTCTACAAAGAGATGATGAAAAAAAGATGTAGAGAAAATTAGCAAGTAAAAAATCCAAGGTGATTTTTCAGTGCTGAAACTTGCAATTAAAAACTGCATTGAGGTCCCAGCATGATGAATGAAGATACACCCCTAGACATACTGTGGTGATTAATATGGAGTGTCAAATTGGTTGGATTGAAGCATGCAAAGTATTGATCCTGGGTGTGTCTATGATGGTGTTGCCAAAGGAGATTAATATTTGAGAAGGTGGGCTGGGAAAGGCAGACCCACCCTTAATCTGGGTGGGCACCATCTAATCAGCTGTCAGCTTGGCCAGGATATAAAGCAGGCAGAAAAACGTAAAAAGGCTAGACTGGCTTAGCCTTCCAGCATATGTATTTCTCCTGTGTTGAATGCTTCCTGCCCTTGAACATTGGACTCCAAGTTCTTCAGCTTTGGGACTCAGGCTGGCTTCCTTGCTCCTCAACTTGCAGATGACCTATTGAGGGAACTTGTGATTGTATGAGTTATTACTACTTAATAAACCCCTTTATATATACATCAATTAGTTCTGTCCCTCTAGAGAACCCTGACTAATACAGATTTTGATACCAGGAGTGGGGTCCAGAACAGGAGAAGGCTCTGCAACAGGTCCAGGCTGCTGTGCAAGCTGCTCTGCCACTTGGGTCATATGACCCAACAGATACAATCGTGCTTGAGGTGTCAGTGGCAGATAGGGAGGCCGTTTGGAGCCTTTGGTAGGCCCCCATAGGTGAATCACAGGGAAGGCCTCTAGGATTTAGGAGCAAGGACCTGCCATCTTCTGCAGATAACCACTCTCCTTTTGAGAGACAGCTCTTGGCCTGTTACTGGGTTTTGGTGGAAACTGAATGTTTGACTATGGGTCATGAAGTCACCATGAGACCTGAGCTACCTATCATAAACTGGGTGCCTTCTGACCCATTTAGCCATAAAGTAGGTAGTGCAGAGCAGCATTCCGTCATCAAATGGAAGTGGTATATACATGATCAAGCTCAAGCAGGTCCTGAGGGCACAAGTAAGTTACATGAGGAAGTTGCTCAAATGCCCATGGTCTCCACTCCTGCCACCCTGCCTTCTCTCCCCTACCCTGCACTGATGGCCTCGTGGGATGTTGCCCATGATCAGTTGAGAGAGGAAGAGAAGACTACGGTCTGGTTCACAAATAGTTTTGCATGATATGCAGGCACCACCCAAAAGTGGACAGACAGCTGCAGCACTACAGCCCCTTTCTACGATATCCTTGAAGGAGAGTGGTGAGAGGAAATCTTCCCAGTGGGCAGGACTTTGAGCAGTGCACCTTGTTGTGCACTTTGCATGCAAGGAGAAATGGCCAGACAAGCAATTATATACTGATTCATGGGCTGTAGCCAATGGTTTGGCTGGATGGTCAGGGACTTGAAGGAAGCATGATTGGAAAATTGGTGACAAAGAAATTTGGGGCAGATGTATGCAGGTGGACCTCTTTGAGTGGTCAAAAACTGTGAAGATATTTGTATCCCATGTGAGTGCTCACCAACAGGTGACCTCAGCAGAGGAGGATTTTAATAATCAAGTTGATAGGATGACTCGTTCTGTGGACAGCAGTCAGCCTCTTTCCTCAGCACCTCTGTCATCACCCGATAGGCCTGTCAACAAAGTGGCCATGGTGGTAGGGAGGGAGGTTATGCATGGGCTCAACAACATGGACTTCCACTCACCAAGGCTGACCTGGCTATGGTCACAGCTGAGTGCCCAGTTTGCCAGTAGCAGAAACCAATACTAAGCCCTCAATATGGCACCATTCATTGGGGTGATCTGCCAGCTACCTGGTGGCAGGTTGATTATATTGAACTTCTTCCATCATGGAAAGGGAAATGGTTTGACCTCACTGGAATAGATACTCTGGATATGGGTTTGCCTATCCTGCAAGCAATGCTTCTGCCAAGACTACTATCTGTGGACTCATGGAATGCCTTATCCACCATCATAGTATTCAACACAGCATTGCCTCTGACCAAGACACTCACTTTACAGCTAAAGAAGTGCAGCAGTGGGCTCATGCTCATGGAATCCACTGGTATTACCATGTTCCCCATCATCCTGAAGCAGCTGGATTGATAGAATGGTGGAATGGCCTTTTGAAGTCACAATTATGCCAACTAGGTGACAATACTTTGCAGGGCTGGGGTAAAGTTCTCCAGAAAGCTGTGTATGCTCTGAACCAGTATCCAATATATGGTATTTTTTTCTCCCATAGCCAGAATTCATAGGCCCAGGAATCAAGCAGTGGGAGTGGAAGTGGCATGACTCACCATCACCCCTACTGATCCACTAGCAAAATTTTTGCTTCCTGTTCCCATGACATTACGTTCTGCTAGGCTAGAGGTCTTAGTTCCAGAGAGAGCAACACTGCCATCAGGAGGCACAACAACAATTCCATTAAACTGGAGGTTAAGATTGCCACCTGGACACTTTGGGCTTCTCCTACCTTTAAGTCAACAGTCTAAGAAGAGAGTTACAGTGTTGACTGGGGTGCTTGGCCCAGAACGTTAAGATGAAATCAGTTGACTACTCCACAACAGAGGTGAGGAAGAATATGCATGGAATACAGGAGATTCATTAGGGCATCTCTTAGTATTACCATGTCCTGTGTTTAATGTCAATGGGAAACTATAACAGCCCAATCCAGGCAGGACTACAAATGGCCCAGAGCCTTCAGGAATGAAGGTTTGGGTCACCCTACCACAAAAAACAAACAGAAACCCCCAACAACAACAACAACAACAAACAAAGAACAAAACAAACCAAAAAAAACCCATGACCTGCTGAGGTGCTTGCTGAAGGCAAAGGGAATACTGAATGGGTTGTAGAAGAAGGTAGTCATCAAATCCAGCCAGGATCATGTGACCAGTTGCAGCAACGAGGACTGTAATTGTAATGAGTATTTCCTCCTTCTTTTGTTAAAAACATGTTTGTGCATGTATACACTTGTACTAAAAAATTATCTTCATTTTATTTCCTTTTCTCCTTTTCTATGTGACATTAAATTTATTGACTTCATATCAGCATTTAAGTATTGTTAACTCTGTGTAATAGCATTTGGGTTGGGGATTGGTGCATTTCCAGTTGTACGAAGGACAGTCGTATTATGTGAGGCACAATTATACCTTAGTATTGTCTTCATTTGAAGACTATGTATGATCTCAGGAGGTGTGTATGAGTTCAAGTTGACAAAGGGTGGACTTGTAATGGTTAATACTGAGTGTCAACTTGATTGGAGTGAAGGATGCAAAGTATTGATTTTGGGGTGTCTGTGAGGGTGTGGTCAAAAGAGATTTTTTTTTTTTTAAACTTAAATTGTCTTTATTTAATTGACAGTGTTAGAGAGAAAAATTCCCTATCATTACTAAAGAGCTGAAAGCTTAATACATATTCTTTAGGAATAGTTGCTAACTCATATAACTATTTAGATTTGACTTAACGGAAAGGGAGGTGTTACAATGAAACAGGTTTATGATTAAAGATGTTACAATTAAACTATTCTAAAGACTTACAATATGCTTCTTAGCTAACATTATAATTGTATCATATTACTTAGGTTCAAGTTCTTTCTTCAAAGAGTCATCAGAATAACATGGATTGAAGAGTCTTCCAAACACTTGCTATCTCTTGCTGTTGAGTTTCCATCATAATTTTTTTTTGCAACATAGCCATTTCTTTCTTAAATTCATTTTGTGCACCAGTAAGTAGATAATCATGATTCTTCTCTAACTCTTCCATACTCTTTATGAACTGCTCATATAACTGTCTAATTGTTTTCAGTCTCTGGCTCTGAACAATTCTAGATTGTTTGAAGAATCTTTTGTTGCTGTCGAAACATATTACATATTTTTTCTTCTTGTTCCTCAGCTTTCTGCATATCTAAATCCCACTGCTGAAACAAAGTCAGAAACTGCTGAGAATATTCTTGGTTCAGCTTCTGCCTTTGATCTTGTTGTGTTTTCCAAACATGTTCGATTTTCTGGTTACTAGTTTTGAGAGAAGCCTTTGTATACATTTCTAGTCTCTTTCTCTTGGCAAGAAGAGCCTTGTTAATGTCAACTCCAACTCCTTCCAGCATATTCTGTACTTCACCCCCCATATCTTCACTACTCCTGCAGAAGACCTTTTCTTCCTACCTTTCTCAATGACTGCAGTCTTCCCTTCAATAACATCTTCCTCTGAACCACTCAGATCTTTCTTATCTTTAGTCTCAAAGTCATAGGCTCTCGTAAACTGATCTTCCATGGACGGCTTCCCAGATTTCCTGGAATACTTTTTTCCAGAGGACACCATATTTAGATGCTTCCTGACTGAAACAAACCGCAATGGCCGAGGCCCAGTTACCGGTCGTCGATAGGCGTCCTCCACAACTCCTCCACACGCGCGCTTCACCTCAGGCGGCCCCTTCTCCGCGGCGCTTCTCAAAGGAGATTAACATTTAAGTCACTGGGCTGGGAAAGGCAGGCTCACCCTTAATCTAGGTGGACACCATCTAATCAGCTGTCAGCTCAGCCAGGATATAAAGGCAAGGAGAAAAGGCTAAAAAGTCTAGACTGGCTTAGCCTCCCATCCTACAGCTTTCTCCTGCACTGGATGTTTCCTGCCCCTGAACATTGGACTCCAAGTTCTTCAGCCTTTGGACTCACACTGGCTTCCTTGCTCCTTGCAGATGGCCTATTGTGGGACCTTGTGATAGTGAGAGTTAATACTACTTAATAAACTCCCCTTTACATATATATCTCTTCTATTAGTTCTATCCCTCTAGAGAACCCTAATGCACATACCATTGTGAAAATTCAGATCGCTGAGGATATAGAGAAGTTTCTAAAATTTTTCTTGAGGAAAAATGTGACCTGCAGCAAAATGGCAAGTCTGGTATCACATTTTCCATCAGCAATGTTGAATGTTAGAAGATAGTAAGAATGACATTGGGTTTCTAATAAATAATGTTAAAAGAGTCTTAAAATATCTTCTGCTCCCTTGCAAGGGAGGTTGTTTGAGGTTGGGCTGCATCTAAATGAGGAAGAAAATGTAAACAGAAAAAAATCTTGACATCCTGGAAACTGTGGAGCCAATTTGTCTCTAGACAATTTGTTTCTACAAAGGGAAACCCCAGAAATACAGCCATGTGGCAGGCCTGTAATCAGGCAGTCCAACTGAGGCATCAGGAGAAATGTTGATTCGATAAAACTGTACTTATTTTTCTAGCCCTTTTCTCCATCCCAGTAGAAACAAAATACTAATAAAATTGAAGTCAAGACAAAAGGGTGGGAGGAGGGAGAGGATCAGAAAAAACAACTTTTGGATACCAAACTTAGTACCTGGGTGATGAAATAATCTGTATCACAAACCCCCATGACATGAGTTTACCTATATAAAAAAACTTCACATATATCCCTGGACATAACATAAAAGTTAAAAATATCACAATGATCAATCTACACTGCTTGGATCTGCAGGAAACCATGTTTACATTCTTAATGTTCTCAATGACTTCCAAATTAAACTTCAACGTATGGCTAACACATGGCAGAATTAATTATATATCAATACCATTAACTTTAGCATTGCAAAAGTTCTGCAGATGATAAAATTAGCAGGAGAAAAGAACATAGTGATGCTGAAATGAAAACTATGGTCATTAATATCATCAAACATGAGAAGAAACATTATAGATACAACATCTTTGGGTTTGGCTTAGTATTTGGCCAAAGTACAAAGTACAAAGTACTGCTACAAAATATACATTCCTACAGCTTTGAAATAAGAAATAAAGATGTTAATATTTTACTAAAGATACAAAGAAACTACACAGGAACTCAAAATATACATATAACAACTGGTTGGAGGGAGGCTAGTGGTAAGCCAGTGATTCCTCATTTATTATACTAATTAGATTATACCTACATTTTATAAATCAGAAAACAACATAAGAAGTATATTATTAAAAGATATGGAAGTAGAAATTACAGAAAAATGATACAGGAGTAGAATAGTTGTTTCTAGGAAAAGGACTAACGGATGTAAAAAGATGGGAAAAGTGCGTGCATTAATTCAACAAAATGGAAAAAGGTGATGAAGTAGCAAAAATGCATTTGGTGAGGTTAAAGAATTATATTAATAGAAGAATCAATTTCCATCATGCTCCATTCATATGATTCTCTATTCAAGACTCAAACCACTGAAGGACAGTATGTAAGTGCCACCTCAGTGATCAAGTGGCAATGTCCTGGAATTATCAGCCTAGCAGAACTATAACAAGCAGGGGAAGGAAAGTTCGAGAGGGAGGTGTTCCTAAGGACACAGAAACAATATCTGTCAGTACATACCATTACTTGGCTCTTAAGTGTGCTTGCATTTATGTGCACACACACACACATTCTTGCTATTCTTTTCTCCCTTATTTATGAATGATTGTCAGAATGACTGTTTAATTTTGAGAATTGTGTTTGCTTATTGTATTATACCATTTAGTGTTGTAGATGAAAGTTTGATGCTTACTAATTTATTTTTCTTTGTAGTTTGCTTTTGTTATTCAGAAGCAATTCAAATTTCTTTTTAGCCTTAGAAAATATGTATTTTTCTACAAATAAGTTTTATTCTCCCAAATAATCTGCCCTGCTTTCAGTTAGTTCTTTTCCACTGAAGACTCAAGTTTTTCTTTGGTTCAGGAACAATTAATGTCATTTTATTTTTGATGATGCTTCTCTTAGCTGTTTTGTAAAAATTTTGCATCTATCCTCCATGCCTTGTATCTTTTAAAGCATAATTTTAATTTTAAATATTTTCATATTGCTTCTTTGGAGAATTACTTGAATTATTTCCAATATTCTAGTTAGTAGCATCTATTTTGCTGTTCTATCACTCTTTTGATATTTTTATTTTAGCAACAATGTTTTATGTTTTCATATAATATTAGTAATTTTCAGAGAGTTCTCTTAAAATGACAGTTTATGCGTATTTATTTTACTGAAATTTCATTGCATATTAGAAAATTGTTTTCGGTTTCTCAGATTTATTCTCTCAGTGGGGTTCATGTGCTCCTGCCTCCTCTTTTGAGCTGGGATTCTTTCTTACAAGCTCAGTAATATTTCTAATTATCCTCTAATTATTTTAAATAAATATCTTGATAATCAGTGTTAGGAACTGGTGTATGTGTTTTATTTTTGGCAAAAATATTCATTAGTAATTATTTTAAAGAGCATATCCTACTGGGAAGTAAAGGGGGAAGGGGAATTAAGAGAAGTTGATTAAGGGGTATAAAAATACATTTAGATAGAATAAATAAGTTCTAGTATTTGGTAGTACAGTAGGCAAACTATAGTTAACAATACTTTATTGTATATTTTATTTTTATATTTATTTATTTATTTATGAGACAGAGTCTTGCTCTGTCGTCCAGGTTGGAGTGCAGTGGTGTGATCTCTGCTCACTGCAACCTCCACCTCCCGAGTTCACGCCATTCTCCTGCCTCAGCCTCCCGAGTAGCTGGGACTACAGGCACCCGCCACCTGGCCCGGTTAATTTTTTTTTTTTGTATTTTAGTAGAGATGGGGTTTCACTGTGTTGCCCAGGCTGGTTGCGAACTCCTGAGCTCAGGTAATCCACCTGCCTCAGCCTCCCTAAGTGTTGCAACGTCTGTAAGCCACCACGCCCTAGAAAAGATTTGTGATATTCCCAACACAAACAAAAGATGCATGTTTGAGGTGATGGATATCTCTGTTACCCTGATTTCATTATTACACATTGTATAAGGGCATCCAAATATCACTTGTACCCCCAAAATATATACAACTAATATATATCAATACAATACACAGAGTATATTTTGACTATGAATACAGAAAAAGCATTACAATAATAGATAATTAGACATGCTTCACATTTTTAAAAACACAGTCATTATTTGAAATGATTCAAGACAGAAAAAAGTACATTCATCTGACTACTGGCATTTTCTTTTTTGGTTTTAAGTTTGTTAGATTAAATAAAAATCCAAAACTATCCAAGCACGGTTTTGTCACTTACAAAATAAAAACCACGACTGGGCTCAGTGGCTCATGCCTGTAATCCCTGCACTTTGGGAGGCTGAGGCGGGTGGATCACCTGAGGTCAGGAGTTCAAGGCCAGCCTGGCCAACATGATGAAACTCCGTCTCTACTAAAAATACAAAAAATTAGCTGAGTGTGGTGGTGTGCGCCTGTAATCCCAGCTACTCAGGAGGCTGAGGCAGGAGAATCCCTTGATACCAGGAGATGGAGGTTTCAGTGAGCCGAGATCACGCCACTGCACTCCAGCCCAGGCAACAAGAGCAAAACTCCGTCTCAAAAAAAAAAAACCAGAAAAGAAAAAGAAAATAAAAACCATAACTACAGCCTGTAAGACTGCTGGAATATAATATTGTATAAGAATTAGATTAATTTTATTTTAAATATTTAGAATTAAAAATTTTTAATTTTTTTGTTAATTGAAGATTGTGGTAAAAAAAAGTAGAGCTAATCAAGTATTTAAAAACTTGGAAAATAAACTTTAAGAGAAGAGACATGGTAGTACAGTGCAGGTTTCCTCAAACTGTGTCTCTTAGAACATTGAAGCACTTTATGTTACAAGCCATTTGTACAGACACAAGATTTGGCTTCAGGTACCTTTTCACTTATTGTTTATTTGCTTTTAGGAGAGTTATTTAAGCACTCGATATCTCATGTTTTCTAATCTCTAAAATGACACCAATCAAATTTTCAAATCCATATAAAATTCAGGCCTCATCATTAGATGAGTAAAGGATGAGGCGTAAACCAGCACAATGTGGTGCGGACCGTGGTAAAGGGGAGAACAAAGGTGTTATCAACCACCTGGCTCCAGCCCATAGTTACTACATGAGAACACCAGTCTAGTGTTGCCAGATCTTCAGATATTGATGTGCAATATTTGAAAATGTGGTGGATAATTCCAAATGTTTAAAAATATTGTGTGTGCTGAACAATACATGTCTGCAAACCAGATCCACCCTGTAGATAAGCCATTTTCAATCCCTGGATTAGCTGTTCTTTAATCAATCTTCAAATACTGATATTTTGTGATTCTATAGGGATATGGAACAATGAAGAATATTAAGTAAGGGCCACCTATTAACAACTTTGGTATATGTTGCTGCCCGAATAACATATTGTATTTTTATACAGAAAAAGTCCATCTGTTTTTGAATTATTATTAAGACCTAAGAACTATTTTCAGTTATTGAGAAATAAAAGGGGCTTTGAAGACTCTAGTCTATATATCAGAAAGCTTTTAGG